CTATAACTTGTAAACTGCATCTGCATGGCAGCCACTATAACTTGTAAGCTGCATCTGCATGGCAGCCACTTGTGCATAGGTGCTTTAAATGCAAGTTAGACTTGAGGTGATTAACTTGCATACCAGTAGCTGTATAACCATAGCAGCAGAATGTACCAGGAACTGGAGAATCCACTTGGGTGGTCATGAGCCTTGGTACTGGAATGGCTAAACTGCTACAGGCTCTGGGATTGGCCAGGTTTAAAATTAGCTTGAGTGTTCCTACACTTCCTCCCCGTTGCTGCAATCTGAGTCCAGTGTCTCCAACACAAAATATTGTTTAATTCTCATGATAGTTGAGAATGCTTGTGTTTAATAATTGAATATTTAAGCATATATTCCTTGTCCTGGTTGCTCCATGTATTTGCTGAGAGTGTAAGGTATGGAAAGGTCTGTGAAGAATTTCTCCATAGGGGGCAGCAAGCCTCTGCATCAGTTTTAGGCAGTTGCTCCTTGGATTCATCCCATGTTCTTGGCTGACTAGCTAGAAAGCCAGAGGAGGTCTTAAAAATCTGAGTAAAATCAGTATGTTAACAGTGTATGGCAGATCTCCAAGCAGTTACCTTTCTAATGCAGTTTTTTATTTGTAAAATACAAGTCTAAGACTGGCACAAAGCTGTCCAGAAATATTTCAAACAACAAAGGTAAAGTGATTAAAATAACTTTTAAGAAAGATATTTGGACCTTAGCACTCCAGGAGCTTTTCCTCCATTTCTGAGATGTTCTTCACTCCTGTGGAAAAATTTGTGAATGGGGTTCTAGCAGGAGAAATCTCAGCTTTGATCAGACCCTTCCTGGGACAGAGGCTAAGAGTGGGAGGAAAACTCCACATTTGCTGGTCTTTTATTTTCTTTTTCTTAATATGTTTCTCCAAGAAGCACATAAAACCTCGAACTTTGTTTTCTAAATTAGTTTTAAAAATTTGTAAGTTTAAAAAGACTACTCGTATTTTTCCAGCTTATGAAACAAAACCAAGCATAATGTCTACATGCATAAATTTAGGCAAAGATAAAAGAAAATCTCTCTTTAAACGTTATGGTCGTCTTCTCTTCCTCTCTAGACACTAACAGTGAGCATATGAGCCTTATCATACGTGAAGGCATCTAGTTATATTCTTATGCTTTTCAAAAGCGTTTGGTTCACATTATTGAATTATCTGTTCTGATTCACGCAGAAGATTCTACTCTCTGAAGGAATCAGTGCCCTAAACCTTGCAAAATGGGTGAAATGTTGATATGCTTCTGGTAGCTGTTTCCTAACCTGAATTTCCATGTCATTCAGCGTGAATTGTAGTAAGAGTTAATAATTCCTCAGTAGAACTAGGAATGTTAGAAGCATTTGTATTATTACCAGAAGTGGTTTACAAATGTTTTTCATTTTAGAAACAAATAAAAAAACCCTTGAACTCTCCAGGATGTCACGGTAGACTGATCTACGCTTATCATAAATCTCTGTTAATAACAAAGTCTAAATCATAAGTCTAAGCTTGACTGCTTAGAAAAAAAGTGTTGTTCTAGTACTCTACTTTTTGTTTCTTCATAAGTATTGAGAAGTAAATTAATTCTGGATGATGAAGACTGCATTTGTCCTGTGTAACCCATGTACTAGGTAATTTAGTGCCATTTTTTTCAGATTTGGCATAACTAGACTGCTGCTAATAAGGCTGAACCATAGCACAGTATAAACTGGGGTATTTCTTGGCAGCAAGCATCTCCACAGCCAATTTCTGCTAATATTTGCATACGTTTAGTACGTGATGGAAAATGGGTTGAAGATCTCCATTGATAGGTGGAGGCATAATTTGTGATGTTCAGTGAACAGATTTTTTACCCACAAATCTCCTATTGTCAGATGTGTCATCAGTCCATTAGCATGAGAAACAGGACTAAAAATAACAGGATAGGGCTGCTAAATAGTGAGCCTTGTTAAAATAGTGACAGCAAACTAGCCCTTCTTTCATTCCACATGAAAAGTGTTTCGTAGCTGATCCCCTCTGTGGGCTCAACGTAGCGAAGAGCAAATTTTTTTTAAGAGATCGATATTGTATCTATGATTGTCTTCTGATATTGGTATGTTCACAGCAAAGGGCATTCTTGTCAGTAAGCAATTTTAAAATACCATTTTGACTAAAACATTCCACATGAGAAGGAAAAAAAGGCATAGCTTAATTTGCCAGGTAAAATTAGTTTTAATTTGTAATATTGCTCCTGATAAAGCATGTTTGCTTGTGATAATTTCATGCCCATATTTTAATTTTTTTTTTTTCCACTGGGGAGAACCCCAAACCATTTTTGATCACTTAAATTGCGTCTGTCTCAGAGGGAAGTAAATAGAAAGTTCTGTAATTTTTAGTTTTTCTCCATTTGAAAGAATGCAGATCTGGTATGGTTCAACATACACTGAAACTTGTTTTGTTTTACACTAATGTGAAAATCTCTGGTTGTTCTTAGGCAGTATAATGTGCTGACAGAAGTTCTGGACACATAGCACCAGTGAAGGTCCACTTGGTACTGTGCTGTGGAAAAAGCCCCTTTTTTGGAATGTGGTTTTGCACAGTTTTGTTAGGAATTTTGTTTTGTGGCAGAACTCAGAAGACACATATAACTAAACTAAAAGTGTCCATCCTACGTTGTGACACAATTCTTCTTATTAAACTAGATGTTTACTTTAAATATTATTCCTTCAAACGAAACCCATCAAAAGTTAAGGGGTCTACTTTCTTGCATGATGCTATTGTAGAATTTATTTTTTTCTGGGCATAGAAATAGGTTTTTATACACATTTTTTATAATACCTGATTACTTACAGTACAAAATTAATGCGGTTCATTACCAGTAAGTAAATTACATGCAGCTGAACATGCTGTTACTTACTCTGATGGCTGGGTTAGAAAGGGATCAAGGAGGATAATGTAGGGTTTAAGAAAGACAAATAAAACATAAGTTGCTGAGTTAAAGCGTTTTTACTACTACTCGGATTGGGTGGTGTCTCAAAAGGAAGCACTTCCAGAAATCTTTGAACACTCTTCTGCGTGACCAGACTGACAAAGAACTGAACCTGCTTGTTTAAATGTTTTTGCTTATGTCTCTGTTTTTTCTGTACTAGACCATTTGCAGAATTTTGTAAATTAAGTTATGCCAAAATACGTGGTGAGAGCTGAAATGAGTGCAGTAAAATCATGGCTTCACAGTGTGCTCATTTTTTCACGTGCATCTCTTACAAACATGTTTAATATGACGATGCCTTGTGCTGTCTTATGCTTTTGTTCTCAGTGTGATTAGAAAACATAGATTCATGCAGAGCTAACAGATCTGCATTCTGTGATGCATATTTGGCTATTTAGAAAAATAGGATATAGATTTCAATGAGCTATCTTTAGCTATGGTAAGGCCTTTTTAAAAGCTGCCAGGAAAATTTTTTAGAAAATTATTTCCTATTTTGCATAAATTTTAACACCTGTTAATTGCGGTCGCTTTTTTCCCTTCTCACTGTGTTGCATTAGACACCCTGCTTATCAAAGTGATCGTATCGCTATGGTATGTCTCATAATTATGATCAAACTGTTATCTAACATTCCTGGAGCATTCTTTTTTTCAATACTTAATACCTTTTATTCCTTGGCCTCATGCATGAATTATGCTGTGTATGTGAAGAGGCTTAAAGTTTGTTTCCATTACATTCTTTCTGAATGGATCCTGTTGTATCTAGGATTTTTTTAAAGCCAAGTAGGAATGTTATTGTTGACCTTGACACCAGATAACTGGGCAGACATTATATAGCTATGTTTGAATCCTCACAAAATGTGATGCTAAAGCCAACAGAATCCTGGCGCGAGACTCTCCTGGACAGCAGAGTTATGGAGCTTTTCTTTACAGTAAGTTTCTTTCTTCAACTTTCATAGTCCAGACCACAGGGAAAGCAGCTCCTTCCTGTTCTAAAACTGTATTGTTGGACTCTTCCTTTTGCATCAGGTAGGACTGATTCTGTTAACTTCAGCTTGCTTATCAAAGCAGACAGAAGTATTTTCCTAGGCTACTGAATATATATTTTGCCTTTTAATTGTTTTAAATTGATAACCATTAGCTAAAAAAAAAGGTATTATGGTTATCTAAACTTTTTTACATTTAATACTTCTGGACGTATTCTCATCAGACAAAACCAAGCCTGATGAGCAGTAGTAGAGTATATCTTTCAGATAAGGTGTAAGGGCTCTCAGAAAAGATCAAATGAGCAGTTTGTGTTTGCAGATCTTAAAGCATTTACTCAAGGGAACAGCTGAAAATAAATAATGTAGTTGTAGTTTTCTAGCCAGTTTCAGCATACAGAATTCTCTACCTCTTTCCTCAGCACAAAGTAAATCCAAACAAGTTAAAATAGAATGTAAGTTAGAGGGATGAGGAAGAAGTAGTGTTGGGAGAGGGGAATGTAATACTCAATTTCTATAACTTAAAAACCCTAGAGTTTTAAAAATTGATAAAACTAGTATTGTTTTCTTTGTGCAACTGTTGGGAGAAGTTTGTAGTTATTGCTCAGCAAGGGCTTAACTGCAGCAGCAACATATATTGACTTATAAATTCATTTACTATGCAATTTAACTTACATTACATCTCTTGGGACCTGAGAATTCAGCATTCTCATGCTTTTTTCATTTTTGCAAAGCAGAGAAATGATGTGCTCAAAACTTGGACAAAGTTGTTATTAGACAATGTAAATTTAACTCTAGTGCTGCTTGACAGTACGTTTGGATATTTGTCCTTACTTTATAGGATTTTTTGATAAATTTAATTTTTTTTAAAACTTGCAGTAAAAGAAAAAATGTATCTGTTCCAGTAGTTTTGAAAAGGTGAAAAAAATCACTGGCAGAACTCTTAGCTACACACAATCTGAACAGCTGTCTAGACTATCCAGACAGTTGCTACTGTCAGCTGTGAACCTCCACATGCAAATAACTTTTTGGCTTACACGTTAACCCTTCCTCATTTAATAGTATGAACTTGTCAAAGTTAGGTATCTGTTTCCTTGATTGGTTTACAGTTACTTATTTGTGATAAGAAAAAAGTTTTTGAATAATATACAGATTTGTTTTAGTACATTTGTGTGTTACTTAATAGTAACCAAAGCTTGCCTGTATTTCAATGAACACTAGCCAGGGCAGTATGCTCTCTGTTTTGGTTTTAGATTCCTGATTTGCAGTGGTTGAGGCTTGTAGTAGTAGCTTGCTGTTTGAAGTAACGTAAGTGAATGGTAGTAATTTTTATTCACTTATCTGATCTGAGAAATTTTAATAACCTTGCAAAAGTTGGCTGGACTGCCATGTTAAAGTGAGTGCCTCCAGTTCTAATCTCAGCCTCGTGTGGGATGTATATTAGGAAGGGTATTTCTGTTGCAGGGTTTGTTTCTCCTGCTAGTTTGATCTTTCAGGGATTAACTCTGCAGCTAATCCAAGTAGTTATGAGTTGGGTGAACTTGCAACTATAACACCACAGAGCAATGGTTAGTGTTTTAACTGTACTTTTATATATAATATTGCTGAAATAATTTAACTAAATTTTGGTTCTGGCTGAAAAAACTACTCTATATTTCTTTATTTATTCAGTAAATCTTATGTGAAAAAATAGGAGGCATGAGCCTAAGAAAATTCTTTAAATCCATACTTGACGATTCAGATAAGTATGTGAGAATATGTTTGTTGAAATAGTAAGATTTTAATCTAGAAAGTGTCAACAACAGAAGTAATGACATAACAGTTTGCAGAAATACAGGAAGATTACTGTTGGTCTTGTATAACATGAGGGTGTTGCCAAGGAAGTGATGCATTCATTTTTGTAAATGTCTTCAGTGTTTACCTCTGCTACAGAAGCATCTATATAATCTTGATTGAACTCGTTGACTAAGTTTAGCAAGACTCTATAGCCTAGGCATAGTTAGCATAATAGAGATGACTGTCATTATTGCTGTTTTTAGAAGGAGCAGCATGTCTGACTGGCTGGCATCTGTTTCCCTCTTTAAGACATAATATTCAGTAGACAGTTCAATTTTCAAGATGTAGGTGAGCCTTAACTAAATGTTAGTTTCAGTGAGCTAACTCACAGCTTGCGATTTTGTGAGCTGAGTCACAATCTTGACATTTGCCATGGTTTAGGGAGTTGTAGAAATCTTTGCACTGAATGGAAGTTATAGTAAGCTTTTTTTGGTGTGTGCTCTTTTGGATTGAGAGCCATGTGACTGTTGTAAGAACACCCTGTTTTCGTGTATTATTATTAACTACCTCACTTCCTGAAAGGTACATCGAAAAATCAGAGAAGATACAGATATGGCCCAAGATTCATTACAGTGCCTGGCACAGCTGGCGTCTTTGCACGGGCCAGTCTTTCCTGATGAAGGTTCACAAGTTGATTACCTGGCACACTTCATTGAGGGATTACTGAATACTATCAATGGGTATGTATGCCTGCTCTCTAAATTTAGATGGCATCTTTTAATCTTCAGTTTGGGGTGTAGCGTATCTGTGTGGCAAAGTGGTATGGCTTGCTTATTTCTGAGTATAATTTGTATGTACTGTTGAAAGAAAAGGCAATTTAAGTAGGTGGTGCTTACATAATATGAAGTAGATTTATTGATTGAAAGTGTATCAACAAAACCTATTCCCTTTTAGCATTTTTCTTAATGGCAAAAACCTGCTGTTTCTATCTATAGAATTGAAATAGAAGACTCTGAAGCAGTGGGAATTTCCAGTATTATCAGCAACTTGATAACTGTATTTCCTCGCAATATTTTAACGGCCATTCCAAATGAACTTTTCTCTTCATTTGTTAACTGCCTCGCACACCTCACCTGTTCCTTTGGAAGAAGTGCTGCCTTGGAAGAAGTGGTAAGTAGCTGCAAATAGCAGGTAATCTTTGTTGTTTCTCTCTATTTGCGATAAGCATAAGTGACAGGAGAATTTGGCTGTTTTGTTAATAACCGTTGTGAATTCAGTGGTTTTGTCCTAGATTTCTGAAATCCCTTCTGAGAGAGTTTTCTTTTTATTTCACACAATATAATGAACAAAATTACACACTTTGTGCATCTTTCAGACTTTGTTTTGATTTAAAGCACTTGTCTTAATTTTTTAATTTTAAAAAGAATGGATTAATTTAAAAATATTGAAGTCTTAAATATTACTGACTTGCTGTTGTAGGACTTCTCTGAAAACTGTTGTAGGTAGTAGACAAGCTACAGTCCCAAAAGCTTAAAATGACTATGTGAACATATGGACAAACTGCAAATTAACTGCTGTCAAGAGTTCTGCTTCAGGGTTTCTGTTTTAAGTGAATGTAGCGATTAAGATCTGTTGTTAACCCCAGACTTCTAAGCTGTTCAGATCATGCCTTCATCACTGACACAGTTCAAATGGTAATTGTGTGTACAAATCTAGCACAGGAACCAAGAGGATTTTTTTCTCTTATTTCAAATTTTGGTTGTAACACTTAAGACTGGGGGGAAGTCCAAGTTTTCTGCTTCTAAAAATTGCTTCAAAAATAAAAACCCCTCAGGAGACCTAGTTCAAGGGAAAAAAACCCATAAAAATTAAGATGAATAATCTTGCACTTCAGCTATTTATATGCAGTGGATGTAGATATAAAATGAGATCATCAAGATACTAACAAATATTTCCCTATTAACATGAGAAAGTATGATTTTTTTGCTCGTTTGGTATAATAACTGAGGTTAATTACCTGAGTTTAAAAATAATTATAGAAGTATTTAGTTACAAAGTTGATAGACATGTTTCCTTACTAGAGAACACAGGTGTGTTAATTAGCATTCATTGCAGGGCATTAGATTATCTCTTCACTGCAAGGTTAAAATGTATTACATTTGGCGTGGTGCTCACTTAACTTTAAAATTTTTTCATATCTTAATCAAAAAATTGGTGATTAAATTCAGAATCTGAAATACAGCTACTTTCCAGACCTTATTGGTCAAATTTTGCTCTGCTTTTGGGATTTGCTAGTAGAACACTGAACATGTGTTCTGGTGCTCACTGATACGTTTAGGAATGCTCCTGAAGCCCTTATAGAAAAGATTCAGTAAAAACCACAGGCAGCTGTCATTTAAATTCAAGGGACTAAAGGGATGTTGTTTCCTCAGTTAGCCTCTTGTTACTTGAGGACTAGAATAAGCAATCATATTTAATGAAAACAGTGCTCAACATAATGCCATTCAAAACACTTAATTTCTTAGCAAAATCTTACGATAGCGTGTATGCTATCTGGTAAGAAGTTTATTTTGGAAATGACTAGCTAGTTATGCCTAGTAAACTGTGGCTGCTACACGTATTTAATCCCATAGGTTTTGCTGAAGAAACTACTGTCAGTATTAAAAGTTCTCAGATTAAGCAACATCAAAACAAGAGAATGCAAGAGGTTTTTTTTGTTATTGTTGTTTGGGGGAATTTTCTCACTGTCCTTCAATCTTTAAATCATCCTGTGAAAAGAGAAACATTACACTTTCACCTCTCCTGTTCTGTTAGTGCTCATATAGGTATCTCAACTTCATGTTGTTTCTCTGATTTTCAGGATGATACAGAATTCTGTAGTGATGTGCCTTCCAAAAAATAATGCTTATATCTTAACAGTGCATGAGCAATTAGGCGTGCTACCAAGACTTTCAAGTTACTGCTAACTTAGTCCTGATGGTGTAATGTGTGCTGTGCCTGTAGAAGTACTATTTTGCATCCCTGGAAACGATCTTTTGGCTTAGGAATGTCCCAGCCATGATTAATGTGTTCCCCAAGCTTCTTGCTTAGAATGTGTGTAGTGATACCTTCTGTGAGCTCATGTGCTGTCCACAATTAAGAGCTTTTTGATATATAAAATACCATGTGTGTTGGGCTCAGTAGAGTTCTCAGAGCTTTTCAGAAATACGAAGTGCAGCAGAAGGCAGGCAGGCATACTCCTTAAGCTTTGCTGGTTAAAAAAGCTGTTTTCCTCATATTTCTGCCACTTTGTGTGCCAGCAGAACGTATCATGTGAACACAGCAGAAAGCCCATCAGGGACAAGGAATCTACTTTGCTCAAGACCTGCTATGAAAACTGTCAAAACGTGGAGGCACTGAATCAAAATATGCAAACCACTTCAAAGCAGCTAATAGTGATTTTCAACCAAGGGGGAAACCCACAATCCAAATATCATGTTCAAACTGTTTTGCATTAACCTGCCGCTTAGGGTTGGAGAGATTGACTGAAGGAAGTTTGAACATTTGCCTGAACAGCTATGCTAATGGAGGGAGGAGAGTAAGCTTCAGCAATGCTGGGAGTTAGTTTATGGTGCAAGTTGGACCAGTAATCTCTTCCTTTAATGGCACTAGGTCTGAGAGAAAATATTTGTCCACAGCTATGCTCCGCCTTGCTCAACACCTAATGCTTTTGCAAAAGTAGAAATCAAATAGTCCATCTGAATTAGTGAAGAGTATGAACAGGATGTTGGATGAAAAGTCAAATTGTATTTGACTTTAAGAAATTATATCAAAGGCTTCTTTTTCTCAAACTGAATCTCAATGCATTGTTCCTATTTCATGATATTTTTCAAGTATCATGTGATGGCAGAGATCATTCCGAATTTGGTCTTCTCTGCTGTGCTTCTAACTCTTTCTAGCTTATTGCTGCTTGACAATTTTATGTAGTGTTCTTTCTTCAAAGGGTCAGCAAACTGTGAAGGAAGAAGGACCAAATTTCTTCTTGTTTCCTGTAGTAGAGGAATTAAGCATTTTTGCTTTAACTTTGTTGGTTTTATCTTGCCTTTCTTGAACATCTGAGTTCTGATCCATCAGAATGATTCAGCTCTCCAGTCTACAGCACAACACTTTATCTGTAGGACCTTTGGTAGCTCAGCTGTAGGTAATCTGAAATTAGGATTGGGATTTTTAGTAAGGTTTCTTTGGGACCATATTGGTTCAATATGGATAAAATCTTTCTACTATTGGGCATGTACTTTATAGAGGCATATTAGTCCTAGATTGCTTATGAGAATACCTTAGAGTTAAAATAATTTTTCTTCATGACGTTATCTTCTTTATTACCTTTTCAAATAAATGAATTGGATATATTTTGAGGATATTTTGTTGTTCATAAAGACGTGTGTTTATTTGTTTATGCTTTTGATTCTTATAAATTATGAAAAGTTGTATGTAAGTTAATAGATGTAAATATATTACATACATGTAAAAATATTTTAGGGTTGAATGACTGTCTGTAAATTCATGTGACCTTTAGCCAAGTTTCAAAAAGATGTGTTATGTTGTCCTTCCCAAATTTGTGACTTATGTTAGTGTTGAATGCAATTTTGCCTCTCTCCTTGTCATCTTCAGCTTTTGGTTTTGCAATTGCATCAGTGTGTCCCATATTTTAACTTATGCAAATATGACCACTTTGCAGTTACAAAATGATGCAGTGAAGCTGTCTTGAAACACTTTCAGTGTGATATCAGTTCTTCCTCTTAATCAACCAGTGTTTTCTTTTCCTTGCCTGTTCATTCAACCATGTTTGTAACTTCACTGGAAGTCAGGAATTCTTGTGTCTGGAGCATGATTAAGGCCTTAATGTCTCTTTATTTCATCAATGAACCATTTTACTAAGCTCTGCTATCTGAAAGTAACTTCTGTGAGCCATCCTGTTGGTTAAAACTTGAGAAGACTTCTTAGAGGGAGTTTAACGTCTTAGCAGCATGTTTATCTGTACAGTCACACTGGAGTTATTTGAGGTTGGATATATTTACAAAAGTTCAATTTTTACATCAAGACAAAAAGTTGATAGTTACATTAAAATACTTTTAAAATAAATGGCCTCTTTGCTGTTTGGGTTTTTTAGTCTGCCTGTAACCCAGGACATTATTTTTCATATAAGTTGTTTCTTTCTGCAACTTAAGTACTACGTAGAAGCACATATGAATAATTAGAAACATGAAGCATCAGTTGAAATACACCAAGTAATTGGAGGTGGAGGCACTTCCACTGTTTTTTGGTTTGCTTATAGAATGAGAAGTTGTGATTATTCATCAAAACTGGCTACCTGTAGTAAGGTTTCTTGAACACATGGCAATCTTGCAGTAATTTCCTGTGAAATAGAGAATCATTGCCTTTTCTGTCTCTTTATTTCAGTAGTAGTGGAATACATATAAATCTATATGCAACATCAGATGAAGAGGAACAGCTAAACACACTGACAGTTTTTTAAAAGCCTATCCTTAGATGGGTTTTGTGACTGATTTCTTTTTGTTTCAAGAGTAGAAGAACATCTGTTTAATAATGAATATAAGCAAGTTCCTGTGGTTTAGCTTAGGAATAAGATTTTTGATTTGTTTCTTTCATCTCTTACAGCTTGACAAAGATGACATGGTGTATATGGAGGCATATGATAAGTTGCTGGAATCTTGGCTTACTTTGGTACAAGATGACAAACATTTCCATAAAGGTTTCTTTACCCAACATGCTGTTCAAGTCTTTAATTCCTACATTCAGTGCCATCTAGCTGCTCCTGATGGCACAAGGAATTTGGTAAGCCCTCATTCTAGTAGATTTTGATGATGACATATAGTAACTAGCCCATGTCTTTTGGTGTGTATATATTATGTAACTCAAGGCAGCGAGTGTAGAATTGCTATTTGTGACTTTGGAAATGAAAAAATTAATGAATTTGTTACTCATTTGTCATTTCCCAGTCTGTTTCTCACATTCTAAAGAGAAAATAAAGAAATGCAAAGTTGGAAATCACTTAAAAAAAATAGAAAAAAGTAAACCTGTAACTCAGATCAATGTGTATCTTGCTTTCTTCCCACAGATACAGTGACTAAACTTTTGACCATCCTTCTCTGGATGTCCTTAGAGTCCTGATCAAAATTCTCAGTGAAGAAATTGAAAGCCTTTTTTATGATTGTTAGCTCCCATACATTTCCTTCAAAGTATAATGCATAAATATCTGAAAAAATGTGGGCTGACTATGCTCAGGATAGAAGAAACTTGGAATATCATGTGGTCCTATAGGATAAATTGAATTCCCGGTTGAATTTTTGAACAGGTGACTGTTCTAGAGATACTTGATGTACTTTTAGGTTATCTCTTTAGCCATTGAGAAAGAAAGCAGATTAGTATAATTGCAAGTAGTCTGTATCTTTCTAAAATAGATTCTTATGCTGAAAGTTGGGTGTAGAAGTTAGATGAATTAATTATTGCATAGATTCAATTCAGTAACTATATAAAATCTCTCTTTAGTTTGATGCTGTGCAAAGATCTCCAAGATACCTCATTCTGAAAAGCAGTGTATAAAAAAACCTAATTCTGTTATCTCAATATGTAACAGATGGTAATAACAGTGCCAAAACCAAGAGAAATATTTCACAAGAGAACTTTGAATTCATATCAGGCGGTCTTGACATAACTGGTATACACAGGTTAATTCATGTCATTCTATGAGATAAGTCATTTATCCCATGGGTAACCTTTTAAAAGCCACAGCTGGCATTTTAGAATGCTTCTTGTTCAATATCAAAGCAGTAACAGGAACTTTCAATCCCTGCTTTGAGAGCAGAGGCTCACCCTTCAGTAAACAGCTGCAACTTTGAAGTTGCCCAAAGAGAATGATTTGCTGGGTTACATAAAGAAAACATGGGTTAGAAGCACTTGGTAAAAGGAGTTGTGTGTGGATTCAGTTTTCCAGGATCTCTGTAGAAATAAAGCAGACTGATAGCTTTCTCTCTCTTATATTTTGCTTTGTTACTTGCATAAATTTTATGATTATTCAAGAGATTTTGAAAACTTTTAATATTGATACTTAGTTTCTGCGTGTCATGGTTCATCTCTCCAAGGAATAAGATCTCATTATTATTTAAATAGTTTTATAATGCAACCAAGATAAACTGTGAGAAATTGAACAGTGCAACTTTGCATCAGCAAAAAATAAAACTGAGATGATGATGATGATTATTAGTCTTCTGTTTTCCTGAGGTTATAGCATTTACTTTTTAAAGTACTTTTTTATTTTTAAATAGTACTTTTTAAACTACTATTTCCTTTCAAACAGTAGGTCATGGAAAATCTTTAATAAAAGAGATGATTTTCATTTCATCTTGAAAAATACTACCTATTACATGATTTATGTAAGATCTCAAACAACTGACAACAATATCTTTGACTAATGAATAGGAAAAAGCATGGAAGTTCCAGTATTTTAAATGGTTCTTGGTTTGCTGTATATGTGATTTGAAATGCAAATGTACTTCAGCAATCTTTTGATCATTGGTTTTGGAGACCATCTCTGTGAGCCAGATTAATTCAGTACCTTATATCACACTTCTAGCAGTGGATGCACAACAGAGCTGATTTATAAAATGTAAAGAAGCTGCTTTCTATTGACTAGCTTCTTTTATACTATTAATAACAAGTATCAATTTTCATAAGTCCTATTCTTGACTCTTTTCACAGTGAATCTTTTGACTTGAGAGCACTATTGGAAAGAGTAGCAAATAGACAAATTAACTGTATGTGACATTTTGCTAATGAGTTTGTGAAATGCCGATTTTAAAACAATATGAACCCCTGTTGACTCTGTTTAACTCTTCAGTGTCTAATTTAGTACAAATTCGTTGTTCATCCATGCAAAACACCTTGAAAGAAAGTGCCAAAATAATGCAAAAAACTATGATGATGGTAAATTTAACAAGTATGACTCTTAACTGGTTGCTTCTAATTTTGTTGAAATAACCAGACTGCCAATGGTGTGGCCTCTCGGGAAGAAGAAGAAATAAGTGAGCTGCAGGAAGATGACAGAGACCAGTTCTGTGACCAGTTGGCCAGTGTAGGCATGCTGGGGAGAATTGCTGCAGAACACTGTATACCTCTTCTTACAAGGTAAGTACAAAAAAAATAGTCATGAATGCAAATCAGTAAAGCCATCATGTATGAAAAGCCTGACTTGGCCGAAACAATTTAAAAGCAGTGAAGTTATTTTATTGTTATTTGTCCACAGTTTGTTAGAAGACCGAGTGACAAGGCTCCATGGTCAGTTGCAAAGACATCAGCAGCAGTTACTTGCCTCACCAGCATCAGGTTCAATTGACAATAAAGTGCTTGATGACCTGTATGAGGATATTCATTGGCTTATTTTAGTCACAGGTTAGTGAACAGCTTTAAATAGTACTAATTCTGGTAGTCTTGTTGCAGCTGGGACACCTTAGAAAAAAAAAAAAGAAACCCTGTGTATCAACTACTCTTAACTGACTATACCTTTTATCCTTTATGATAATTTCATCTTACACAGAGTACTTGCAAAGTCTTTGTTTTACTTTCATCTTCCTGAATAAAATGAATGTTTATCTTTAAAAGATTGATGAAATCTTTGCATGAGGTAATGTCCTTTGGAAATGCCCACAACTAATTTTGTTATAGATTTCAGCTGTGTTATCAGTCAACCTATTCAAGAAATTAGTCTGTTCATGGTACCAGTGGTATTGTCTGGAGGCACATGACTTTATAAGGGAACCAATGTGAGATCAGGATAATGGTAGTACTCAGTGGTGGCCAAGAATCAAGTAAGTTCTAGAATTTCTCAGTGCTGATGATCCATGTCCTGCCATTTTGTTATATTTCAGGGAAGTTGAATTTAGAACCTTTTCAGTTTAATTTTTAGATGAAAATATTTTACTTATGTTTGCAAAACGTAATAACTATGACTTTTTTAGGATAAATATATCATATATTGTACATTTTGTAGGATTATATTATAATATGTATTTTGTGGGATTTTTTTTGATATCTGATGTTTTAATCACTCTCAGATGTTGACATGAATGTATTTATAATTTTATAATACTGTAGAATGGAGTTTATATTTGTAGCTCACGGGTAGGTATGGGATCAGACATTGAAAACTCAACTAAAGCTGGAATTAATATTATCTGAATACCAGAGTATTGTATAAAATCCCATGCTTCACCTGATCTGCAGTTGCTGTGCAAGGAAAATTTTATTATAGCATATGTATTTGATGTCTTAAAACCTCTGACAGATTTGAAATGTTAGGAAAACAGAAGTCCCAAATGAGATGGACTCAGTGGGAAAGCTGTAAAATCAAGGCTTTTTTTATCACATAACAAGAAAAAAATTACATCAAAATGTTGTTTTGGGGTGTCCCTCTCTCAGATAGTTGAATCGACTGTAGCACTTTTACATGAAGCAAAACTTACCTCTTTTTTAATTGGTTTTTAAATTGGTGGTTTCTTCTTGTCACTTTAGGGTTTTGTCTGCTGAAATGCTTTAAGGATTCTAAAGTTAACTCCTTTGTATTTAAGCAGCGTTAGACAGGTTGTACAAGCATTTGATTCTGGTATGATGTTTGCAGTTAAGCCAATGGATTCTGTAATCAGAAAGCCGTAAGTTAACCTAGGGTAGAAGGTTGTGATCACTCTTTCTTTTTTAATGTCAGGCTACCTCTTGGCTAATGATACTCAGGGAGAGACTCCGCTAATACCTCCAGAAGTAATGGAATATTCCATTAAACATTCAGCTGAGGTTGACATCAATACAACACTTCAGATTCTGGGATCTCCGGGAGAAAAGGCCTCTTCGATCCCAGGGTACAACAGAACTGATTCTGTAATTAGGTAAGGATGCATCTTGTGCTATTAAGTTTGTTAAATGCTTTTTAAGAGAAAAAATGAGAATGTGAGTGGACTTCTGTGAATGTGAAAAGTAAAGAAGCAATACTGAAAAACTGAGCATTGAAAAAGAAACTACTATTAAAGGGCAAATAATTTAGAAGAATGGTTTTATAACAGTCATATTAAGGTAATGCTGTAAAAGAGCATTAAGAAAAGATGGAAAGGATGAAGTGGTTTTTTTTGGTTGGTTGGTTGGTTGATTGGTTTTTTTTAGGATAAAGAAAGGCAGGGTAAATATAGATGATATTTCAAGTCAAGGTGATCCAGGGAAGGACTGAAAAGAAAAATGAGAGTAAGGCATCAAAACAGATAGCACTGAGTCAAGATGGGAATGCTGAAGTGACTAGATGGACCTAATACCTAATAGTCTTAACAGAGGACATGAGCCAAGTCTTGGAAATAAATAGAAATTTTTTTTATATCTCTACTGAGAATTCCTCTTTGATCTATCTGTTACAGAAATTCCCTAAAATTATTTAAGTAAAAAAAGTTGATAATATATGCTCTAAAATTCATACAGCACATGTGCATCTTAAGCTAATGCTTTCCAGAGCATCAGTGAGCTTGTCTGCTGTGAATATGAGTTACTACCCAAGCTTGGCAGTAGCAGAAGAATTGATCCTTGGAGCAGGAGGAATTTTTGTCAGTATGTACACATATCACTGTTAGCCTATGAAAGAAGCAGGAGAGATTTCCCTTCCCTTTTACAAGAAGGCTGATGCCCACAAAGGACTCCTTAATTTGAATCCTCACACTTCAGAAGATTTCATTCAACTCTTAATTGACATAGAAGATTCTTCACCCAAGATTAGTTTTTGTGTACTTAAAAGTCTTCTTCTGGGAAGAAACTAGAAAAAATGGATCTTCATTAGCAATGATGTATGTGCCTAATGTTTAGAACCTTGAATACCGCTCACTGATACTGTTGGGTGCTTCAAAAAGTGGTCACTGAACAGGATTTCTTGATGCAGTGTTTCAGTGGTGATGGGAATAAAGTTAGATATAAGTAAGGAGAGATTTGAGGATCTCTGTCAATAGCTCTGAAATGTCTTCAATATACAGGCCACTGTCAACTCCTAAATTTCTTGTGCGCTATCACATTCTTATACAATTTAATTGACATACTACAAAAACTAATATTTAATGTTGTTTTATAGGCTAAATTTATTAACATGATCACCTGATGTTCTGCTATTTCAGACTGTTTTTCTGCAGCAATAAACAAGAGACAAATAACTGGTCATTTCTGCATTTGTTTTTTAGTATGCATCACACTGTGAAAGCTACATAATTAGAACTGATTTGGTCAGTTAACTTTCTGGTGCAAGGATGGGAGAAGCAGCTTTTCAAAAAAGCTTTTTAAGCGCTCCAAGTAGTAGTCCATTTGTCACAATGCTTGTGAGGATTCTTTGTTGCAGTAATTTTGGTGTCAAAGTTCACCTTTTAAAGCACAATTATGACTTTTTGGAGGATGTTTGCCAGTCTATCCTGTCTCTCTCTCTCCCCCTCTCCTTGCATTTCAAGAAACAATAAATTCAGGTGCTTTTTACTTGATTAGAGTTGAACTACTATGTGTTATCCTGATCTTCTGTCATATTTGGTGAAAAATGGAAGAGTTTGTTAGTTGCTTTCCTTCTCCCAAAACCAGTCTCAGCATCCTCATTGTATTTTAAATCCACAGGTTGTTGTCTGCTATTTTAAGAGTATCAGAAGTAGAATCTAGAGCAATAAGGGCAAATCTCACGCACCTCCTGAGCCCCCAGATGGGCAAAGATATTGTGTGGTTCCTCAAGCGCTGGGCAAAGACTTACCTCCTAGTAGATGAAAAGTTGTATGATCAGGTAAGGATATAACTTTTATGAATTAATTGGTGAGTATTAGTAATAATATTATCTTGTGAATGTAGATGTCAGTGTAGCTATTTTAAAGTGCAATGCTAAAGCATTTTTAGTGTTAAATATGTTGTGGTTTATTTTGGAATTTGAAATTTGATGTTTTCTTCCATTTGTTAATTAGAAATATAAGTTGTGAGGGGATTCTTCTTGCACATTTTGCTGCAAATTCGAGAATTACTTTTTTTTTTGGTAGCCATCACTATAGCAGAATAACAATGCTCTCAGTCCGCACAGTGAGTGAAACTCACTGACTACAGTAATTTTATAAGCTACTTCTGACTGTCCATCAGATCTTACATTTTATCTCTAATAAAGGGGTTGTCCTTGATGGATGATTTAATGAGTAACCTGATGATGATTGAGATATTTAACACCATCACAAAGTAGTATACATTAGCTAATGTCATGCTACTTTCTCTCCTGTCCCTGTTCTCATTGTATATACCATAATTTCAAGGGTACATTCTTTGTAAAGGGCAACTTCTTATCATGTTTGGATAGCGCTAATCGTGATTAGAATTTGATCCTGATTTTGCTTATCGAACTAACTATAATCCAGCTGGCTCACAGAGGCCACTTGTCTTGAGGAGGTCCTGTTGGCTCTAACTTTTCAAGACTGAAGCTGCCTCCTCCTTCTCCCCTTTATTTCCACTATTGAAGCAACTAAGAATACTAATGCTTCAGGAGGCCCCTCCTTAACAAAAATAGGTATACCATAGACTTGCAGATATTTGGAATAGTACTATTTAGCTTTTACATAGAGCACAGCTAAGAATTTGTAAAGGTACCAGCTGGGGAAGAATTGGAGAGCATGTTAGGAGATACATATGAAAAATGATGTGAAGAAACAAAACAGAGTATCTAGGAAATGCACACATTTAGTTTATGTTGACATATGGAAGTGATTGAAACCTCTGTTTAAACCTTATGCTCAGTCATGTATATATCATGAGTTTTAAAGTTAGAAGTGCTAGTGGTTGTGCTGACAGAAAGCCCCTGCACAATTATTAAAGAAGTCTTTGGATTTCACTCTTGAGAAACTTTTTTTTAAAGACAGGAAAACAGGCAATTAATTTCAAGGAAGCATATTTTAATGTGCCAGGACAGTAGTGTGACATCTTTCTTAAAAGATGTGTAGATTGAAGGAATGATCTGCAGAAAGCAGATGCAGAAAAATTGAGTTGAAAATAGATTTTTAAAAGATTTTATCTAGATCAAGAGCTAGATTTATTTCTAATAATTTTTACTGCTGAATTTTGAGGAATTTTGTCTTAAATTCATGGAAACTCTTCCAGGAGGTGATTTTGGGATCTTTCTTTTGATTATTAAAGCTTTTGAACTTTCTTTGGCCTTAAAAGCTAGACATACTCAAACCAGGTTTTGTAATGAGGTAGAAACTTTTTTTTGTTTTAAGTGTTGTGCTTAAAATTGCAAAATAAATTTGGCAAAGATTTTTCTATTACAGGTATTCTTTGCCTTTGTCTATGTAACATTTGTGTAATTTAAGTAGGAAAGAAGTGACAACCTGAAAAGAATTTGCTGACAATGATTACCATACACTTTGGGCTTCTGGCTTCTGTAAAACTCACTCATTTTAATGCTTTTCTTATAGATAAGTCTGCCATTTAGTACAGCATTTGGTGCTGATACAGAGGGTTCCCAGTGGATTGTGGGTTACCTTTTAGAAAAAGTGATCAGTAACCTGGCAGTGTGGAGTTCAGAGCAGGACCTTGCAAATGATACTGTACAACTGCTAGTAACATTAGTGGAAAGGAGAGAGCGGTAAGTTGCTATACCTCTGGAAGTCAAAAAATTTCTTTTGCTTCCTTTAAAGTTTTTTGGCCAAAGTAATCCAGATACAGGGCACTTCATATTTATGTTTCTGTAAGTCAAATTACTTTAGTAACATACTATAACTGAGAAAAACCCCAACAAACTTGTCTAACAAAGTGAGGAGTGAGACCTATATTTGACAAAACATCACCTAATTTTTATTATTCTTTATACATGTACTTTCCTTACCTTACCTTTGTGCCTCATTCTTAAAGTGAGAAAGCAAAATTATCCTGGTCTCCCCTCTTATTGCAAGGATTTTTGTGTTGTTAATTTTTGTTGATTAAGAGTTCAGATATTGACTAAGCCAGTATAAAATGTGTTTTTTAAACATATAAATTTTTTTTTTAAATCCAGGATTTCGTGGATTCAGACAAATTACAGAAAGTTTTCTTTGGTATTGCATACTGTGAAGCAGGAAATTCATGAATGTTTTAATTCTCTGAAATGACATGCAATCATACATTCACAGTCTGATGAAAGACTGTTCTGAAGCTTGAGGATTTTAAATACTTGAGGAATTTTCTTTAAAAAAAAATTTAAAACCCACAGGAGCCAGTTTTGGAATAAACTGCTTCTTTTATCATGACATAATGAGACTAAGCTTTTAATCCATGCAATATGTCCATTAACTCTGTGTGTGTATGTGCATAAAACTAAAGCACTTCCCTGCTTTTCTCCCATATGAATTGATCTATTTTCAGAGTATATGCTTTAGAAATCTTAGAGCTGAGGCATTAGTAAGATGAAAATCAAAAGGCAATTTAGCCTTGGAATAAAGGAATTTTTTTCAAAAAACCTAACGAACTTCTGACAACCGCTAGCAACCTGATGTGCTCTATTCATATAATTTTGTGAAATACTTATTTAAATTGTTTTTCCCTCTTTTAGGGCAAACTTAGTCATTCAGTGTGAAAACTGGTGGAATTTAGCTAAACAGTTTGCAAGGCGAAGTCCTCCTCTTCACTATTTGTCCAGTTCTGTGCAGAGAACACTAATGAAAGCTTTAGTTTTAGGAGGTTTTGCTCATATGGATACAGAAACAAAGCAACAATACTGGACAGAGGTAAGCTGTTTTGATGCTTTTATTACCTCCATGTTAACAAGCAGTACAACAAGTTAGTTTAGGGAATTTTATGGTGGCACAAAGTCAACTCATATAGCATATTTTTATTTTTAATATCTCACTAATTTTAAAAATTATTTTCTCTTTGAAGGTCAATAGCCATATGTCTTGTATCTAAATTGTATCTAAAACATCTCCACCTAAACAGAAACCTCTAATAATTAACTTGAAGCTTTGTGAAGCAAACAGGATAACAATATGCTTAAATGAGATTATTATAAAAGATACAATAATTTTCCTTGAACTGTACCATTTCTTCTTCTATTTTAATTTGGTGGTGTTATGAATTATTTAGTTATTCACTTAATGATAACGACAGTAAGTAAAAAGCTAACGTGGAACATAATGAAGAGCCTTGACCAGGTCTTTGTGACCTGGCTCCATTAAAGCTCAGGTATTTACTAACAGAAAGGTTGGTGCAAGAAAGTAGCTGAAATGTGATCAGGAAGCACCGCAGGAGTTTGTAAAGCATTGACCTTCTGAGAAAACCTGGCCTTTATTAGCAGAGATATGAAATTAGTGATTTAAGGTATGACTATAATGCACTGGAAGTAATTGGAAAAAACAATTATTTTTATGGAAGTTTTTAAACTGTTTCTAAACACAGCTGATGACAAAAGTGATTGCACTATTTAGAATCATAATATGGCAACAATAACTGTGATTGTTAATCCTAATGCTTTCATCGTTAACAATTTTTCCCCCTAATACTGTGTTTGGAAGAGAACCAAATAGTATGAGCCAGAGAAGGTCATTGTCATTGGTTTAAACACTACAGAATAACTAAAATACTTATGGAGGTGCCATTTTGAAATGTGTGGGCAAGTAATGATAAGTAATGAGAAGCACTAATCAGTACCACTTCAGCTTATATTAATGTGGCAGACAATAACATAACTGAGCCGTGTGAAACTGGAAGTGATTGATTCTTGTACTGCCATGCCAAAAGCAACCCATGAACTTGCCAAATTATTTGAACCTTACATCTCAAGTAGTATGCGTATCTTAATGCTCCTTTTTTAAAAAATTTCAAGGTTCTTCAGCCACTTCAGCAGCGATTCTTGAATGTGATAAACCAAGAAAACTTTCAGCAGATCTGTCAGGAGGAAGAAGTGAAACAGGAAATCACTGCGACATTAGAAGCACTCTGTGGCATTGCTGAGGCTACCCAGATTGATAACGTAGCAATTCTCTTCAATTTCCTAATGGACTTCCTTAATAATTGCATTGGATTAATGGAAGTATACAAAAACACACCAGAGACTGTTAATCTCATAATAGAAGTCTTTGTTGAAGTTGCACATAAACAAATTTGCTATCTTGGAGAGGTAAATACAACCAGAAGGGAAAGGAGGAGGAAGAGTGTTTTGTGTGTGTGCATACAGTGCTATTCCTTAAACAAAATAAGGTGTAGTGACTTTTATATAGAGGAAGAAAGAATATGTGTTCACATCTGTTAAGGAATTCCTTTGTTTTAAAACATATGCTTACAAAGATTAAAAGCAGGATATTTAGACTGTTCGTATACCAATAAATTTAAGCACAATTTATCACTAGTCTAACTCTATACATGGGTGGCAGAAGAGGACAGACTATGTTGAGTACTTTTTTTTAACTGTATCAAACTTTTCCAAAGTCTGGTCTAGGGAGAATTGCAGCACTGTGACAAATGTATATCAAAGAGACAGTGCTTTGGTCCTAGACAAGGCATTAATAGTAATACCAAGAAGTTAACAGTTAAAATAAATTTTGAGTCAGTGCAGTACACTTACGTCTTTGCACCATTGGCTAATTTTGCTATTGCATCTAGAAGAGTTGCAGCCTATTCCAAACTGGATATGCACAGTGTAGTGTGGCTCGAAACTTCTATAGCTGAAGTGTGTCCCCGAGGGATTTTGTTGGTAATCTAGTTTGTGAGAGTGGTGAGATGTGTCAGCCTGTCCTAAGACACTCATCTGTTTTTTTTGTTAAGATTGAGAAATCGATAAAAGTAATGTTCTGCTGTTTCAATCAATAGCACATCAATATATGGCTGTAAGTGTTCTGACTGTTTAAGGTGGCCACTTCCTTGATGATTTTGTGTGCAATTGGTACAAAAAGTGGTCATATGTTGAAATTAAAATCTTGAAGAATTGTCTACCAAGTAATGCCATCTTAAAACAAAGTGTGTCACTTTTAGCGTATGGAAGTTTTCTTACTATGTAACATTGTTTTCTAGGCCAAAGCCATGAACTTGTATGAGGCCTGCCTAACTCTGCTCCAGGTGTATTCTAAGAATAATTTAGGTCGACAACGGATAGATGTTACAGCAGAAGAAGACCAGTACCAGGATCTCCTTCTTATTATGGAGCTTCTCACTAATCTTCTATCAAAAGAATTCATAGATTTCAGTGATACAGGTATTAAGGAACTGGTAATTGCTAAACCATAACTTGTGTTCTAAATTGAAAGAACCATTGTGGGAAATGTGTTCAATCCACATAAAGTGAAAACTGAAGTTTAGGCTTGACTAGGTCAGGATATGGAAATTACTTATTTAACGTGCCAGTAGCACAGGAAGGACTTTCCCTAGTATTCTGGCATCTGAAAATATTATTGCTCTCATAAAATAAATAGGGCATATATGAAACAGCTTGAAATCTGAATGTTGCAAGTCTGAACATGTAGCAGCAGCAGTTTTATAACTAAAAGCCCATAGCAAAGTTGGAGTAGTAAATTAGTGCTAGAGGGCAGGTGGATTGTCTTCTTAGTATAGGATTCAACTGTTGAGATCATTAAAATTCCATCATGTTTGAGGGTCTTCTGTTTCCTCTTTCACAGAAGGTGTTTTATGGTTTGTGGGTGTAATTAAGGGTGCCTTTTTGTATCACAGCCTGTTACTTTTTTACGTGTATTTGCCACTTAAAATTGCAGTTCTCCTGAATATCATCTGCCAGTTCTAGCTTAGCTGTTGTGCATCACTTCTGAATAAGTGAAACCACATTTGCATGATTCAGATCTCACCATGTCCTATACATCTTTGTATGTATAGAAAAGAACATAGGCAGATTCAGTTTGATACCAGGCATGTTTTGATGTTGTTCATTGTTTTTCTGAGGTACGTCTTGAAAGAGAGAACCTTGTACTCCAAAATTCAGTGCTTTTTCGTTCTATTTTTTCACCCTGCATGCACAACACAAATACAGTACCAGATTTAGACTTTGTCCATTGAATGGACATCCTAGTGCTGTGTAACATATTTTCTTTGAGATCTGGATGTTAGTTGTGTGGAAAACACTGTAAAATACTTACCACAAAACTAAGTAATGTGAATAAAACCTAAATGTAATACCCAGAGATCAAATGTTTTGCAAGTTGTCTGCATACTGCTGCTGATTCAATGCAGTAAGGTCTCTGCCAGCTGATGGGAAATGTAGGTCTTGCCTGCAACATCCAAACTACAGAATTTTCTGTATTAACTCTCCTATTCTTTTTCTCCTTCTGTTTATAAAAGATATTAAAACATATGTAAATATAATATATATACACACTCATATATTGTATAAAAATGCAGTAATATTTGTATTAACTATCTGTGTGAAGGCACGAAGCAGCTATCACTAGAAACAAATGCAATGTTCTGCAATGGGAGGGAGCCCTCAGAGTATCTGAAGCCTTCTGGTTTAGCATGCCATCTGGTACAAGTGATTATGAAATGCTTAGTCCTAGTGAATAAATATAGAGTGACGTTACAGCCTCCACTCACTAAGTTTCTATTTTAATACAGTGCCTCATGTTTTTGTTCAGAGAGAGGGGAATAGTCTTATTTTTAAAAATGTCTTTACTATAAAGAAATAGCACTCTTCCTTCAATATGTTTAATCCTCCTTTTATACAAAATAGTTTTTGTCTTTTCTGTAGACGAAGTATTTAGAGGACATGAGCCTGGGCAAGCTACAAATAGATCCATATCAGCAGCAGATGTTGTCTTATATGGGGTTAATCTAGTTCTACCTCTAATGTCCCAAGATCTGCTGAAGGTAAGTATATTTTTACACAGAGCTACTAGAATATGAAAGCTTTATAGTAATGAGTTCGCGGAATTCATTCCTATATGCATTCCACCTCCATAAGTTGAGTTTTCTAGGCTTTATAAATGTAAATAACTGTTCCATAGTTCTAGATATTGTTTGAAAAGAATGTTATAAGCTGAGAAGATGTATATTTGAAGGTCCTAAACAAAACTTTTTGCTTCTAAAAGCGAGTGAGCAGATCCACAGCCAAACCTGAGATGTGGCTCATGGAATCCTTTTTCTGATAGTGTCAGAAATGTTATGGGAAGCATAAACAACAATATTAGTTAAAAGTAACTCTTTATTTTTACAATACAAATGGCTTTCATATTGTCAACATCAGCAGCTTGTCAGTAGAACAGTAAACAGTGGGATGGCGGCATTTCATTGGGTTGCACTGTGTTAATAATTTACTTTCAATCAGGGGAACACTTCTGTGCATCTCAGTTGTCCCCTCTTTACATGCCTTCTCATCCAGTACACTTGCTGAGCAAGAGGGCTGTGTCCATTTTAGATGAAACAAGTCAAAGGATGTACCCTGGAAGCCCCTCTATTGTGCTCCAAATGCTCACGAGGCTTTTACCCCACAGAACTACATTTGTTAATGTATGAAGTAAAACTCTTAGAATTTGTGTAGAGCAGATACCAGACTCTCACCATCATCTTTTAGCTTTAACAGTCTTTTTTTATTGTACTGCAGTGTTTGTTAATAAAGTTGTAGCCATTCTAATGACTGAAGTTGCTTCCTAAAATTGTCTTTTCTTCTTCAGTGGAGAGCATCAGTCCTGTCTCTTTGTACAGTTGAACATTATGCCAGAATAATTATATGATTAAATCTAAAAATATCATGTTTTTCTTTTGACAGTTTCCATCCCTGTGTAATCAATATTACAAATTAATCACTTTTATCTGTGAAATATTCCCTGAGAAAATTCCACAACTTCCAGAAGACCTCTTTAAGAGCCTAATGTACTCGCTGGAGTTAGGGATGTCATCGTATCCTTTATAGAATTTGGGAGTGTTTTAAAAAATCTAAGTTGCTATAAGCAACTATAAGAACATGTTAAAAAATCTCATTTTTTATCTTTTTTTTTTTCTATCAGTATCTATATCTATAATTGTATATTGATGACTGACTCTTACTCTGCTCTCTGGGGACTGACAGTTTCACTGTAGTGTCTATTAGAGATTCCAGTATTAGCTGAATTGCCTCTGACTTGTGCTTGGGGGCAGCCTTTAAGTAGTTTAGCATGTAAGTTTTTTCTGGCAGCCATTCCTGCCTCCCCCATTACTTCATTTCATAGTGTGTAACTTCATAAGCCTTCAGCTGGTATCCCAAAGCCATTCCTGAATTAGTTTCTCAGCTGGTAATGTAAAACATTGCTGCTGTTCTACTGGGCTGGCTCCAGAGCATTTCCTGTCAGAGTGCCAATGGGCTCTCCCTCTCATAATGGGAGTACCATTTTCTCTAATCTGTGGCACGTGTCAGAAACAGATGAGCTTGACCATAAGGGACTCTTTCTGAAAATGTTATGTCAGAGAGGGTTATGTTACCTTAGGGCCTGTAGCTAATAAAAGAAGGCAATGAAGTTGAATTCTTCTTCCCCCCCTTTTTCTAGTTGTTTGTTGTTTGTTTGTTTGGGTTTTTTTTAATTTAATTTTTTTTTATCAACAGCTTTATAGTGAAAAGAAACCTTGGAACATACAAGCATTTAAAATATTTTCTATTTCTGTCACACCTGGGTAATTTTTTCACAATCTAATTGAAATCTGACTTTGATTCTTTAATGCCCATTATCAGAATGAGCTCAGAGGTTTGCCAGCTCTGTCTGGAGGCTGTAACACCATTAGCAGAACAGTGTGCAAAAGCACAAGAAACAGATTCAACTCTTTTTCTAGCAACGAGGCACTTTCTTAAGGTAAGGCATCTGTATTTCCTGTTACTTTGGTTGTTTGAATCCAGAGGCCAGACAGTGATCAAGTCCAGATTAATCAGGATCACACATATAATAAGAAACAGCTTATTACCTAAAAAAAAAAAAAGGCAGTTTAATGAGAAAGAGGGCATGAAGAACTGAAGATATTGGACTAGATTACAAAGGAGGATGGAGGCGTAAAGGGAAGCAGTCCCTTAATGCCAATAAACAAAAGACCTGAGCCTCTCAGAATGCAATTTATATTTACCAATGCTCCACATGTGAGCTCTAGAACTGATTGACAATTTTAGCAGTTATGTCTAATGTGAAATGAAAGCTACCAGAATTGTGTGAACTGGAGACTGAGTAGAGCACTAAAACAAAAGACATGAAAAAGATCATAGTTGAGAACTAGAAAGAAAATGCTGTCATTTATTCAGTGTATCTAATGAATTATGCATTTTCTTAATATCACATTTAGTACTTTTCTTTTAGGACCATCCAGTCTGACCGAATTTTGGAGTGACCTGGTAGCAATCAGGTTCCTACTAATTAGCAACAAAGTAATTGTGGAATTTGTGTGCTTGTCGTCTGATTTTGTATAGACTTCAGTTAAAACACACATTGTTCTTCGCTTAAGAAGTCTTTTCTTACAAAACTGATATTGGAACTTCTGGGGATTGCTATTGCTATTGCTAAAAGGATGCATCAGCCAAGCTGAGAGAATGGGAAACTCTTGAATAATTTTGTCTTTATGTATCTTCTAAATTAACATAGCTTCGTGCCTTATTTCTAAATTTCCACTTAAAATTATAATACTGCTTTTATTATCTGTCCCCTCTTTGACTTTCTGTGAATCTCCAAAACTTGAGGAAAAAGTTCCATGTTTTATTCTGGAAGAGCAATGGCTTTTTTCATTATTTCTCTGGCATGTCTGCAGCTTTTGGAGAAAAATACAAGAAATACAAAATTTCTCTCTGAAGAACAGTTGATATAAATCAACAAAAGGTTTCAGTGCTTTAAGATGTGAATGTAAGGTGTTAAGCCAAGACTTAACTTCTAAAAGAACTTGGCTTCCAAATTACTGGTACCTCAATTTAAAAAAAAAAAGGGGGAGAGGGCAACAAAGCAAACAGCAACCTTGGATGCTTAAGTACATGTTCATTATTATTAATTACCAGAAGTGAAGATGACTTTCAGCAGCATATGTTGATAAAGTAGAAAGTTAAGTTTACACTTCTGTAACTACTTCTGTTTTGTGATTTCAGATGGTTTTTGATATGCTGGTACTTCAGAAGCACAATACAGAAATGACAACTGCAGCAGGTGAAGCATTCTACACATTAGTGTGTTTGCATCAGGTATGGCATTTAGACACTTACACCCTGAAAAGAAGTAATTTGTTAAAGGAGAGTAGTTAGTTACTCTTTGCCTGGTAAATCATAGAATCAGTTGGAAGGGGGAACCCTCAGGTCTCTAGTCCAACTTCTTACTCAAAGTGGAGTCAACGTTTAATTCAGATCAAATTGCTCAGGACTTTCTCCAGCTGTGTTTTGAAAATCTCCGAGATGGATATTTCAAAACCTTTTTAAGTGGCCTGTTAATCAAGTGCTTGATTATCCGTATAATTCATATGCTTTTAGCACCTGCCAGACAGACTCATTGACCCACCACTGGACTCATTCAAGTTCATCCTTAAGGAGTCCAAACCTAGACACAGTATTCCACATCTAATCTAACAAGTGCAGTGTAAAGACAAACAGTAAATACAGCCCAGTATGCAGTTAGTGTTCGGTGCTGACAGGACACACAGCTGACTTGCTTAGCCTGCTGTCCCCAGGGCCTTCAGGCCCTTCTTTCAGCAGAACTGTTCCCCAGTCTGTCAGTTCCCAGTCCATATCGTTGCAGGCGGTTAGTCTGTTTCAGCTGCAGGACTTTGCATGTGTCCTTGTTGAGTTTTGTGAGTTCCCGTCAGCTCATTCCTCCAGCCTGAGTAGGTGGCACTAAATGTCAGTCCTGCCCTTGAATGCACTGGCTGCATTCCCCAGTTGGATTTCATCTCAGACTTGAGGAGAGTGAATTTCCTCTCTTCATCCAGGTCACTGACTAAAACACTTAAAGGGACAAGATCCATATGAGAGCTCTGAGTGCTACTTGTAACCATCTCACAGGTGGAATATGAGCCATTAACCTCAAGCCTTTATAGGCTGATGATAGAGATGTGTTTTCATCCATGTAGTAGCCAACTCATTTAGACAAGAAAATCTCATCTTAGTTACAAGGATGTTGTGTGTGACTGCTGAAGACTTGCTAACGTCAGGCATCCACTGCTCTTTGCTTATGCACAGTTGTAGTCATTTTGTCATAGAAGACACTTTGGTAAAGCATAATTTATCATTAGTAAATCCACACTGGGTGTTCTCAATCCTTTTCTTTTTCACATGCCCAGAGATAGCTTCCAGGAGTACTTCATCATTTTCTTAGTCATTCAAAGATGGTAGAGAGCAGCCTTGTAATGATGTGAGCCAGCTTTTTGAACCCTTGGATAGATTCTCTCAGGTCTCATGCGCCTGTATGCATCAAGATTTCTCAAGAGATTACTGGGTTGATCCTCTTTATTATGGATAGTTCCTCTTCTCCTTGAACTCTGTCTCTAGTCACAAAGGTCTGGAAAAACCTGTCAGTGAAGACCAAGGCAAATAAAGCATTGATTCGTTCAGCCTTACCTTTTGTTTACTATCATTGAACCAGCTCTTCCCATTCAGCAGCAGAACCCACATTTTCTGTATTCCTTCTTTTACTGTTAAAGTACTGGTAAAAGCTGCTTTTGTTGTCTTTGTCCCTCTCTAAATTCAGCTTCAGATGAACTTCATTTTTCTGTCATTGTTCTTGTCCAGACAATGTTTCTTTGTAGCCGTCCCTGCTTCTATTTCCTGCATGTATTGTCCTTGCACTGCAGTTCAGTCATGAATTCCCTGCTTAGCTGAGTCGGTGTCCTTACATGTTTATGTTGCTTTCCTCAGTATCTGGACAGGCCATTCTTGTGCTTGGAAGAGGTTGTCCTTAAAGACCTGTCAACTCTCCTGAGCTTTTTGTTTCCAGAGCTCACTCCCACAGGATACCACCCACCAGTCTCATTCTTGAATAAGGTGGAATCTGCTCTCATGATGTCCAGGTTCTGTACTTGGCTGGTAGCCCATCTGGTATTTGAGCAAATGTCAGAGAGATAATCTCTTTTAAGTCTGATCTGGAAACTTCCTCAAGTTGCTTGAAGATGACTCAGTCCACTAAAAGCCACTGGGGATTTGTAACAAGATCCCACCATGATGTCATCTTTGTCACCTCTCCTCTGATCATCATCCATAAGCACTCAACTAGATTGTTGCCCCCTCTCTAGAAGAGCATCCTTAATTTGAGCTGTCCTTTCACAGAAGTGGCAATCTACTGTTGTCTTCTTCTGTAAAGAGCCTCCGTCTGCCCCTTTGAAAACTCCAGTCATGCCATCTGTCCCACCACATCTCAGTGCCTGCAGTGATGTTGCAGCTCTGTACCTGTACCTGGAACTCTAGCTCCTTCTGTTTCCAAAGCTGAATGCATTGCTTCACAGACTTTTGAGACTGACCTCCTTTCATCCTGTTTAATACTTCCCAATGAGCACCATTAAACCCATCACACTTCTTTGTGTTCTTAATACTGTTGGTCTCTGTCTTCTCACTTATCTGCAAGCTGTTACCACCATCCCCCAACATACCCTTTAAAGCCCTTCCTGCCAGATTGGCAAGCCTTTGGCAAAGGTGTTCCTAAGCCGCTTTGTCCTAGGGATCCTCTCTCTTGCTAGCAACCTTATCCCTCAAAGAGGGACTTGCGATCATGTAAGACAAAAAGATCCTGTGATACCACCCACAGGTGGCAAATTCATGTTGAGTCTATCTCCACCCAGCCCCTCACTGGCAGAATTGAAAGGAACGCCAGAGATAGCTTCCTGGCTCCTGTGTCCTTCACCCATGCTCCCAGATCTCAGTCACTTCGGGATCGCTCCAGTTTTGTGTACCCCTTGGCAGTGTCCTTCTAGTCATGTTTGACATGTTTCTTTGTCTTCTGTTTCTGTCCAAGTAAGTATGAGAGTAAGTAGGAAGCTCTTAGAAAGGAATCCAAGCTCTCTATCCCAGAGAGGGGACCCTAGAAAATGGAGAACCTGTGGGAGGAGATGGTTGGTATGGCACACCAAACACAAGACAGGCATGAAAAAAGAGCAGTCCAGTTTGCAGGAATAAGCCTATTCTAAGAAAGAGCCAGAAGTGTGTGCCTTTGAGTGTGTGCCTGAAATTGTCATCTTACTCTGCGCTGTAAAGCACTGTACCTAGCTTTGAAGACTTCTTTAGCCTTAGAAAAATACCCAGCCTGGATGAAGGACTTTATCTGGTTTAGCGGTAGGTGAAAGGCTGTGGGGTCCATAGTTGCTGCTGGTACAGTGGTCAGTGAAACTGGCTAACAGGTGGAGAAGTATTGATAGTTTTCTGTCACAACTTTTATTCTGGATCTTGTCCTGATGAGAGAAGTTGTATATACTGTATCTTTTTTTTTTTTTAATGTTTATTTAACAGGCTGAATATTCAGAGCTAGTTGAAACATTGCTATCAACTCAGCAAGATCCAGTAATTTACCAGCGGTTAGCAGATGCCTTCAACAAACTTACTGCAAGCAGCACTCCTCCTACACTGGACCGTAAGCAGAAGATGGCCTTCTTAAAGAGTTTAGAAGAATTTATGGCAAATGTTGGTGGACTTCTTTGTGTAAAATAAACAACAAAACTCTATGCCTAATTTAGACCCTTTCTGCGAAATGCACTGAGAAATGCTGAATGCTGACTAAATCTTGTACCTGTCTCTGGGTTCTTTGCAGCCATCTCAGATTCTAGAGAGCCTGGAAGTTTGAACATAACACAATGGAATAGGAGAGGTCAACTTTGAATCAGCTTCTGCTATTATGTGTTAGCTGCAATCTGTCATACTTGTGTGTGGGAGAGAATGAACAGAAAATTTGAATTTAATTTTTTTCCATATATGTGCAAACAGATATGGGCACAACGAAAAATAAATGCAGTGCCTTTCCCCCTGCACTGGTTTAAAATATGAGTGGTCATATAAACATACAGATTTCTTTTCTACCCAAAATCATGTTAGAGTGTGATGTAGATACATGTAAAGCTCTAAACAGTTTAGATACATGTAAAGCTCTAAACAGTTTAGCTGATTTTAAGCTTTATTTTTCTTCTGTTTGAGTTTGTGTTCCAATGGGGAAGAAAAACCAAATGGCATTTTAACTTGTGTTCAGTTCTGTTTTTCTACATCAACCCAACATTGCATGTTTAATGCAATGCGTGTTTTTACATTATGTTCTGCTGCCTAAAGTTCAAAGAAAAAAAGGTGTATATTTTTTGTTCCCCTAAAATGAACTTTAGGAACTGTAGCCATTTCATTGCCTTAATTTAAAAGAAGAAAAAAGCTCAGATCCTTTAGGTAAGAAATATAAGGCAAGATTTAAGGCAAGATTTGACTCTTCAGAGTTGGTTTAGGATGTTGGCACTGAGCTGCTGTGTACGTGTTGCAGCCTTTCAAGATGATGTGTCATTTTGGAATGAGTATCTAATGCAAGGTTCATGTGTAATTTTACTTTCAGTATCTGTTTTGATTCTTAAGGGGTTAAGGGGTTGCACGACACTGCAATGTATTTCTACACTGAACTGTTTGCTTAAGCAATAACAACCCAAAAGGTTTGAATTACTGGCAAACTTTGTAAAGTTGGGGCATTAGCTAAAACAATTATGCTAGCACAGGGGCATCAGACCCTTTTACTCAAGGTTTGCGTTTGTTTGACTCCAGCAGGGAAAGGTAATTGGGAATGTCTACTGGTGTGGGAGATTTTTAGTTTTGCTGAATCTAGCTCCACTTCTGCAGAGCCCTCCCAGCTGCTCTGCTCTTGCTTGGTTTTTTTGTATCAGCACTTTAGCTATAAGAATAGCAGAATATAGTGCCCTGAGTATAGGGAACCAACAAGGCAGAGCTGCAGACGAGTATGAAAGCAAGGCCTGCTTTTCTGCTGTCATGAGCCAGAGAAAACTGAAGCAAACACAAATGCTGCATGTCTAGTAAAATTATTTTTGTGGAAATACATAGAGGAAGAAGTGGACCCTTCTGTTTTAAGATCTCTGCTAGATTATGCTATTGAATATTTCCTATGTGTTTTTTAAATTTATATAAAATGTACGGTATACATCTTTATATGGCTATGTATAACTTTATGTTTGCAATTCTGTGCCATTCTTCAGCTATTCATCTCAAAATTAGTCACAATAGCCAGAATTTTTAAAAGACACAAATCTGTAATACTGTGCTATAAGTGATCTAAGGCTCTAAGGCTTTTTTTTTTTCTAAAGTTAAATTCATATGTGTCTCAAGTATGGATCCACCAGGCCAAAAATGCCATCTCTTTATTATACTTTTCTAATTGATGTGAAAACTAGGCGAGGGCAGATTTACACATTACAAAGTGACCATAAAACTTGTTAGATAATAATGTACCTTCGCAGCTAGTATTTTATTTCTAAGATATTTACATAGTATTTTAGAACAGGAGTATTGCTCTCAATTTTTTCTTGAAACTCTAATGCATTTCTTTAAAGAATTTCTCGACTGTGCGCTTGCACAAAAGATAATGATCTTGGCAGATCCTTCTGTTTCAAACTGTTGTGCTGGCTGTTTTTTTTTTTTAAATTGTCTGGGATTTGCTATGTTTTTGAAACTGCTTCTGGAGTTTTTCTGAGTTTGTACATTGCATAGGGCAGTGGTTCCGAAACCTCATTTTTTCCAGATGAAGGGCACTGAAGCCTGGGAACATAAGCAGCAGTAGGAGCTGCTAGTTTGTTATGATGTGCTCGATGTCAAATACCTTGACCAAAGTCTTCAAAGACATCATAGCAAATACTTTCAATTTGTTTGGATCTGACTGAATAACTGATTTCACTCATTTCTTTTATACCTAGCTCTGTCACTATTGTTTTATAAATCTTAAAGCTGGCTCACTATTTAAAAATATTTATTAACTTAAAAATTTTGAAATCCTCTTGCATATTGTAATTGAAGAATTGGAGCACAAATTGAGTTTATATTCAGGACAAAGTAATGTGCATACCCATTATTTTTCTTATCAGGCCCATTGTGTTGTAACAATCAGAGACACATAGCATCTTCTGAGTATCAAGTCTTGCTTAAGTATGAAAACCTACATTCTAAGACTAGTTTTGATGGTTATTTAAGAATTTTCTTTTCCCTTCACTTAAAAATAATATTTTATGGTAAAGGAAAGCTGTCCTAGTAAGGGTTTGGGGTGTTTTTGTAATTTTCCTGCTTAAATATTATACTTCCCTGTTTCTTAATTTTTCTTACATTCTCATATATTCAGCAGGGATCTTTCCATACCATTTTGTGTTTCTTTTAGAGCACATTCTAAGATGTCTCTGCTCAGTGACATCAGTGAAATTGGGAATAAGTTTTATTCATCCATAATATGAATAATTGGCTGGCTTGGTGGCTGCTTCTATCTGAATTATTTGGCTTCTATATCCCTACCAAAAGAAAAAGAAAAAAAAGAAGTCCTTCAGTGATCTTCTACACATCCAATTGCTATAAATCTGGATGTGAAAGCTCACTGAGGTCCACAGGAAAGACTCATAGACCATTTTTAATGAACACTGAGAGCTGGCTCCATATAAGTGTTCTAAAAGTTTTACAGCATCACTGCATTGATTTTCCATTCACTGTGCAAAGTGAATAATGGTTCTAAAAATGCACCTGTTTCTTGAAGGAAAAAAAGGCAACTCAAACCGAATTATAAATGCTGCATGATATAATTGTAACTAATATATTTGTCTGGACTTCTCTTGCTAAAACAGATTATTGATCCAGTGTTTTCATTCTGAGAGCTAAAAATCAAGTAGCTTTCCAATTTTGCTATCTCCTTCCCATTGTAATATTTCTAGTGCTGCCATAATAATTTTCTGTTGTTCAGCATAGCATTTTTGATGTTGACAAGCATGACCATCGAGTTCAATCATAAAATTCAAGACCTAGAAAGCACATATGCGTATGGACAGGCAGAAGTGGACTGCAATTTCCACATGAAAATTCCACTTTCACATCCATTTATGCCTTAATTAGCTTCACTGAATCACTGCCAGAATCTGCTACTTTTTGCCCAGAGGTTTGTGTTTCACTGTTTAGTGGTAAAGAGCTCACCTTTTTTCTCAGGAACAAGAAACTTGTTTTCTCAGCATGTCCAAATCCTACTGGTTGAAAGAGAGGGGTTTGAACTGGAGTCATCTCTTTCGTAGTGCATAGTGCTCACTAAAGCCCCAGTGTTTATCTGGGCAAATCCCTTCATGTCTAGGCCATGTAGTTCTAGAAAATAAGCTTGCTCAGAGCAGTCAGTTGTCCATTTAAAATATAAAATTCTTTAAAAGGGAAAGCAAATTCTAATTTGTGGTCTGTAAAACTATTAAAAATACGAATTGCAGCATTTCTCTTGTAAAACACTTCAAGTAACTTCAGTTTTGGTTAAGTAATTACATAAGAAGTAGTGTTTGTTGTTTTTTTTTTTAATGGAAGTAGCTTGATGAATATAAGCGCAGGAGTAGGAGCCAGGCTCCTCTAATTTTCTAATAAGTTTTTCCGCTGGATCCTCTTTGGCCATTGGCAAGTAGCTAGAACTGTTTTGTTGAAATAGCATTAACATCTGCCTACCTCACAGGAATGTTGTGAGGATTAGTTTATGCCTATAAAATCCTTTGAGGATCTGAGATGCTATGTAAATATTACATACTTTAGTTTTGTGAGATGTAAGATTTACCGTAATGAGAACAGATTTTCATAATGATAAAGCCCAGGAGAGGCAGCAGTGGTGCAGTATTCCCCAGGACTGATCTCCTGCAGTACAGGAATGATTGCTGTAAATTGTCATTATTTCAATTACAGCTGATTGAAATGGTGGCTTCTTCTTAAATAAGGTGAGATTCCCCACCAGTGTGCCTCAGTTCTGGTCTACACAGGGAGAGGACAGTTGTTGGTTTATTCAGGCTTTGGTGCCTCTACTTGTGACAAGTGCTACTTGTGGTAGGGTTTTTTGTTTGGTTTGGTCTTGGTTTTTTTATACTTTTCTGCAAGGAACAAACACCACTCATTTCTACCATGTCTGTTCCAGTCTCTCAGTATAACCAAAGCCTAACAATTAAAATTTAAGGAGCCATCCCTGCCCCCTCCTCCTCCCACCCCGTAAATTTGCATTTAATGTGAGTAGGTTGTGCCCTTTTTACAGCAAATTAGATTAATGCTTTCTTGCACTGATCATGAAGCAAATCATGGAGTGTGTTTTACTCTAGGACCTTAAGCTCTCAGCTGTCTTATAAAACACTTTTTTCAGTATGAGATTTCTTGGGGCCCTAGCAACTGAGAAGTAAGATATCCCTTTTCCTCAGTGGATTGAAATTGATTCTGTTTTTTCATTCCTTCCCTTTTCCCTGTCCTGCTTTTCCTGTCTTTTTGAGCCATTCTGAAGTGGATTTGGAAGACCATTCCAACCTCAAGAGAAAGATACTACCCATATGATTTTCCAATCTGTTACAGCTTGATACTTGAAATTGATAAAAACCTTTCTAGTAGCATTCCCCAGCATGTTTCAATCTCCCGTTGAACCATTCTAGAATTTATAATTATGAAAAAAAATATTATCCTCTTTTATTTGTTCCCTTTGTGCAAAATAAGGAACCTCCATGCAGTGAACATGCAGTTTTAAGGCAATAAATGCTAGTACTGCTGTTGGTCAAGTGTGTAAATATTTTGAATATATAATTCAGTACTGTGTTGAGTTTACTTATTAAAAACACAGGGATTGAAGTGCTAGTTGATTACAAGTATTGTTTTACCTGTACAGTTGAAGATATGAAGTTGCATAGAAGTATTTCACAATTTATTGCAATAAGACTTGGGAAATGGCTGTGTAATCAAGCCTTATCACAACTGATTTTTCAATTTTGAAATGATCACTTTGTGTATTTTTAAGATCCATAAGCAGGAGAAGGATCAAATTGTTTTCCACTAAAGACTTTTATTATTTTGTTTTGGCCATGTGTGATTTGTGTGTATT